ATCCATGGATAAGAACCAGAAGATAGTATACAAATAGAAAAACAGTTGGTTTTCTTGGAGTGGAGAGATTGTGGTCATCTCCCTATAAACATTTTTTTAATATGGCTATTGCATTCTCTTTTCAAAAGTCTCTTTTTAGGAAAATGATATGTACTATCAGATTTTTATAATTTCTCAGAGCATTGTCAGATTCAACCTAGCTATTTTCCATCTTTTAACACCTACTTCAAGTTGCAACTCAACCAGAGGCTCCCCAACCTTCCAAACCTACATATTTTCTCCCCTCTGACTATGGAGGTTTCACACCAATGAGATGCAGGCCAGGCCTACTGAGCCCCCACATAGTTCTCACTCAAGCCCAACAGCCTAATTCCATCACTAGACTTCCTGGGTGTACATGGACCAGTTGTGAGGCTGTTCTTTCCAGAGATGGGGATTAACATAAAGTTCCAGAGAGATACCTACCTTTGAGAATTACTTATCCCCTTATTGGGCAGCATATCTAAACTCCCAGGTGATGTTCCCTGTATTAGTCTACAGACTTACATTGTTTTCTAACTCTTCACAAGTTTCCACTGGGTGTGGAAGTTCCTGGGCTACAAATCAGTATTTATCAATATTCCCTTTTACTGTCTACCTAACATGTTGTCTTGCATACAATAGACCATCAAGATATAGCTACTGATTTATCTGTTATATACGCAAAATTGCTCTGTATTATAGACAGAATTTCTGTATTTGTTCCTATTTTTTAAGTGTGATACTGAGGCACAGAGCAACCAATTAAGGTTGTGGACTCATTAGTCCACATAGCAACGAGAGCACAGACTGACTGACCTAGGCCAATTACCCTTTACTATACCACATTCCTTTTTCTATCACTCTAAAGAGCTGGGGTGTGTGTGCAGGTTTTGTAGACAGATCACTTCCCCAGGGAATGGAAGCAAGGTTAAGGAGAGTTTCATCCAATAATAACTGGTTTTAATAAGGTCCAATGTTAAAAACCAGGTCATTTGTAATGAAGAAGCATAGTAGAGCATGGTGGTTAAGACAAAGCCTCTGTTAGCCCTTCAGTCCCTTCATGTTAATTCAAAAAATCCAGGTGGATGTAGGACTGCACCAGGAAACTCAGCTTGGCAAGCAGAGTTCCTGCTGCAGTTCAGCTGCCACCATCCATTTTGGCCAGATATCCTTGTACAGTGAACATCCTGTGCAACTGTACATGGGGGTTCCAGGTTAGGGAGAACACAAAGCCCAGAGTCAGGCTGCCTGGGCTGGGAGCCTAGCTCCAAAACAGTTTTGCTACATGACATTGGACCTGTGTTCAATTCTCTACATATTTTTCATTTAGAAAATGAGAATGATTATAGAGCTTTTTTCATATGGTGATTATAAGGAGGATTAATTAGGAAAATGCTAGTGCCTATGGTGTTAATTATTTATAATAAATAGGCCAATCATTAAATGAAATATTCTGTAACTCCAAAAGGCCAGAAAGTCTCATTCGCAATTATATGAAACATCAATGTACAAGAAAGGTATGCAAGTGTTTCAAATGCGAAACTACTCAACTGTACTTGTCCTAAACCCAAAGTAGAAAATAATACAACCCATTAAGAAGTATTCTTGAGTCACTCATTCATGCTTTCATTTTGGATTAGAATTGAAGAGAAAGACAGGAAAATTGATTCCTGCTTTTGTAAGGAATTATTTATCCTGCTTCTCTGAATACAAAATAAACAATTTATGATGTAAATACCACATCCTTAACATTTCTCTTCATTCGGGAAGAATTCATCAGCCCAATAGTAAAAACCTAGATTTCTCAGCAAATGGACCTATTTCCAAATAGGAATTGTGACATATATTTCCACCTACCAAAAGAATTGTGAAAAGCATTTCACAAACACCTCAGGGTCCAGCACCATTTGCCATTAAATTTGAAACATTTGCCAAATAAATGGATTTCATGGTATTTCTTCAGAAATATGAAGCAGTAGGCATCTTCCTGCTCATTAGTACCTGTGATTCCTTTAGTCCCAAGTTGAGAGCAAGTTTCTTTCGGTCTGTTTTGCTGATATATTTCTGCTTCTGAAACATTTTCTCCAGAGCCTTTCTCTGATCCTCAGAAAAGACAGCTCTTCTTAAAATGCCCCTCCGAGCTCTGGAATTCGAGTCCTGTGTCAAGAGAGGCAGCACGCTCTCTTCTCCTAGGGATGGAGGGAAAAGATACAGAAGCCCAGTTAGCTTTAGAGAGATGTCAGTTTTTCCCAGGATAACACAGAATCCTCCTGCTTTGTATCATGGCCAAATTATCTCCTCTCAACTCTGCATACTTAGAGCAATGCTTCTTAACCTCTTTTTGGTTATGGGCTCCTTTGGGAATCTGCTAAATGCTTTTTGCTCCCCAATGGGCAGGGAGGGGTACACATGCTTGCCCTTTCAATTTTGCATACCATGTCAAAAAGTCCAAGCCCCAATGTAGAAAAAGTAGTAGATGGTTTGTTTTTCTTTCATTCTTCAATTATTTATTTATTCATTTTTTCAACCAATTTTTGAACACTTACCATATGTCAGGCACTCTACTCAATATTTTGCTCAATATTACACATTGAGAAATAGCAGTAGTATGTTTCATTGCCCTCATTTCCCGTTAAATCTAATGGAGGGGCAATTCTTGAACTAGCATCACAAGTGTGATGAAGTGTTCCTAAGGAGGGGTCCAATCTTAATCTGGAAAGTCAGGGAAAGCTTGCAAGAGTCGGAGATGTTTAATCTGAGAACTGAAGGGAGAGTCGGAGAACTCTCAGGCACTCTCCCCCACAATTCCACTGATTATCAACCGCTTACTACTTTTTCTGCCTTTTGTGGCTAACACAATACTGGTTCCCACCCTCTGAAAGTTTACCTGCATTCATCCTTCATTCACTCACTTGTTACGCTTCCCAGTTGTAGCAGGCAGAATAACAGCCCCCTTGGAATGTCCTCCCTGTGAATGTTACATTATAAGGGAAGGGGGAATTAAGGGTGCAAATGGAATTAAGGCTGCTAATCAACTGATCCTGAGATGAGAGGAGTAGCCTGGATTATCCAAGTGTAGGCCCAGTGTAATCACAAGGGCCCTTGTAAGTGAGATAGGGATGCAAATTGGAGGTCATAGTCAGAAAGAGAGATGTGAAGATGCTACACTTCCGGCTCTGAGGATGGAGGAAGGGGCTGTGAGCCAAGGAATGCAGGCAGCCTGGAGAAGCTGGAGAAAAGAAGGAAGCAAGTTCTCACCAAAGCCTCCAGAAGGAACGCAGCCCTGCTGACACCTCGGTTTTAGCTCAGGGGGCCCATTTAAGGCTTCTAACCTCTATAACTGTAAGATCACAGGTGTGTGTTGTTTGAAGACACTAAGTTTGTGGTAATAAATTACAGCAGCAATAGGAAACTAATACCCTGGGTATGAGGCTCACTGAGCTAACTGTTGAGCAAATCAGACAAACAGCACATGGTCCCTGCTCTTAAGGAGCTCACCTTTTCATGGCAGGACTGACTTATGAACATTCACTCCATACTGCAGGCACCACGAAAGCAGGGCCTCTTGTTTACGGTTGTAGCTGAATGTACAAGTAAATGAATGTCTTAAATACTAGAATAGAAAGATCTGCAAAGTGCACTGGCTTCACAAAGGGGGAAATGATGAGTTCAGAGGTAACAGGTTGAGCCAAGTCTAAATGAAGGATACAGTTAAAGTGAGAAAGAACCAAAGCCAATACAGACAGAGTGATCTACATGTCTGAAAGACCTAAGGCACAAAGGAATAACATCTATCCAACGAAAAGCAAGGAGTCTTCAAGGCTGGAGAAAGGGATGAAGCAGAGGTTGTAAGCAGCAACCATACCCAGCCTGCAGGTGGGCTTTGTTCAGTCTTAGCACATTGGTTAAAAACTCTTAGTTGTCCAGATTTAATAATTGGGAGTTTCACATGAAGTCCAGGTTTCTGTCACCTCTTCAAAGGTAACTACACAGGCCTCACCTTCCTACAAAGCAAAGAGCTACCAGAGCGGGTAGCAGGTGCCCCCCTTAGATGGAACATGTGGCCCCCAGTTTTCTACAGCCTCACATAGCTTGCTCTTTACCTGCCAAGATCTTGAAGACATTTGGACCTCTGGCATAGAGATTATGGAGTGGAATGGAGTCAGATCATAGAGAACTGCAAGCATTTGGGACATTATCCAGTGGATAGTGAAGCTCAACAGAAGATGTTCAAGCAGGGCAGGACATGATAACAATAAACATACACCCAGCATTTCTGTCATGCTTACTTTGTGTTAAGCCACTGACATGCCTTATTTCATTTAATCCTCTCAGTGAATCTATGTCATGAATGCTACTTTCATTCTCCCTATTTTAAAGGAATAAAATGAAGCTCAGGAAGGTGAAGTAACTTTGTCCAAAAACTGACACCAAAACAAATGCTCTTAACCCTAGACAATACTGGCATGATCTGATTTGTATTTTAGAATGAAAATGGCAATAAATCTTGTCAATTCTACTTCTATAATATGACAGCTTCCTTTCCTATTTTTCTAAAAGATTACAAACCTTTCCTGGCTAGTCTCTCAGCCCTGGGTTATATACCCCATTCCAGTTCATCCCCACACTGCAGAAAGAACCACTGATCTCTCCCTTTTTGCTTTCAGCTCTGTAACTCTGCATCTCCTTAGCAATGCCGTGGTCCTGGGATACCAGCATGCCCCATTCTGTACAAAGATCTACTTTCTCTGATGCCCTTTCTGTTCATCCTCATATGGGATCTTGGTTATTTCCCCTTCTACAGCACTAATTCTTTTTGCCTGTCTCATGCCAAGGTTATATCTTGAAGTCAGATTTTGACAACTGGATCCACTATTCTTTATCAGAGACTGAGGCAGTTTCATGAAATGTTGGTCAATAATAAATAATATTCTGAATATCTCAATATGTTCGTCTTTTTCTGAATGCTTCTCTTCTCTGAACATTCCTTGGTATGCAAATCTTGAAATTAGCCCTTGTGCACTATTTCAGAGTAAAGATTCACCTGCTGGGCTCTCATCTCTCTGGGAAGCCTCAGGAAAAAGGACTTTGGAGTATGGAAGAATTGGGTTTGGATCTCAGCACTTACTTGTGTGACTTGGAGCCAAGTTATTCAGTCTCTTTCAGCTGATTTCAGGCTGCTCCCAGGACTTGATGAAATAGCATAAAAAAATTTTAGCACCTCACTCACATTAAAAATCCCACAAATTTACTTTATTTCCCCTTGTTGGATTTCATTTGATCCTTACGAGAATCATATGCCACAGATATCATTCACTACAGATGAAGACGTGTTCAGAGCAATCAACATCCAAAGATACACTAAGGACACAGAGCTCAGCTGGCACCAAGACCTTCTGACGTCAAACTTTTGGCTCTTTCATCTGCATTCTGTCATTTCTAATTTGTAAATGTATCCAATCTACCATAAGTATTAAAAATTAGGAGGAAAAAACCTAAATATCCAAAGGTAAAGAAATGTACAAGTAAATTATCCACTTGGTAAAATTTTAATGAACCATTAAAGATGAGGACTATGAAGATCGGGCAGCAGCAAAGAAGGTACTTATGCTATAATTTTTTAAAGCATAATATATAAGATATATACTATGCTTACAACTAAGTAAAAATGCAGAGAAAAAAGACTGAAGAGACAAAAATAAACGTTAAGATATGCTATTGTAGAATTGTGGACAAATAATTTACCTCCACTGTCCATTATTTTAAATTTGGTTCTATTTTCTAATGGAAACAGGCAAACATTATAGCAACCTGTTTGGGAATAACCTAGCAGAGTTACTGAGCTGTTGCTGAGTGACAATCAAAGATGAATCCAATCCATCATTACGGTGCTCACAGTTGATAGGAAAGGCCCAAGAATACAGACAGCCACAATACAGTGAGATGAGGACCCGTGGACAAAGCACAGAAGGCATTTAGAGCACCAGATAAGAAGCTGCTGAGGCTGGGAGGCCCACAAAGTAGGTCCTAGGAGAGAGCAGCAGCTAGAAAAATAGCAATTCCTCTTGCTGGCAATGAGGGGGAAAGGCAGGCAGAGTAGAGGGATTAACATCTGCAGAGGCATGAAGCTGGGTGAAGACAAGCGCGAAACATGGTGGATCTAGGAATCTCACACAACCTGGCATTTCCAAATTGCAATGTCCGACTGGGAAGAACACAGGAGATAAGCTGGAAAGGTAGGTCAGGGCCAAAGGTGACTGAAACAAGCTTAGGTTATAACTTGTCAAGGGAGGCCTTTCAAGAAGGACATAACCAACACAGCATTTTAGAAAGGCAAATATTTTTCTCGTTAATAAAACTTTTTACATCATACAAAGTCCAAAACAAATTTATAGACCTATAAAGGTAGTGGAAAAAATATCTACATTTATTTTTTTACTAAGTAGAGTTTTTATACGTAAGGCTCATGATTCAACTTGTTTTAGCCCCGTCTTCACCAAGATCTACACGTTAAAATAAACCAATGGGGAAATAAAGCTCATTTAAATGACCTTTAAACTTTTAATAGAAAGCCACACGTTTTCCTAATAAGTTATTTTTAAGTAAAGAGAAAGAAGATTCCCATCAAGAAAATCTGCAAATAAATTATTCTCCCCATTGTGCCAAATATTAACATTTTGTGGGTCATGAACCCAAATCAGTGCTCTATCTTAGAAGGAGGGACCTGAAGTGGTTGTGAGGGTCAAAGGGTTAATTCCTGGGTCTGGTCCTCAGGTTTCAGTGCTCTATAACAAACACGAATATAACCAATGGACAAGCAAAAAATATGACAAATAAAGAATATTGCATTCTTCCTTGTTTTGCTAGTTGCCTGGCTTCTTTTAGCATTGGTCTCAATATACAAATCATGCTTGTTTTCATGACATGATGTACCTCGGGTTCCTACAGGAAGCAATGCTGCCCTGACTGCCATGGATGCTCCTGCCATGGCTCACCCACGTGTCTTTCATGGGCTATCTCTGGGTCTAACCATAAACCATGTTGAGGAAACTACACCATTTCATACCCTCTAAGCATATTACTGTCCAAATTTATGCCTGCATAACACACATGTGCACTTCAAGAACTTGTTGGTGACTCAAAAATCTCTCAGAAGCTACAAAAGGGCTCTAAGCAACAAACACCTCCA